TATGAGATATGGGATGATGCGACTGAACCAGCCATGCCATTAATTATGAATTTATCAGTCTTTTGCATGCCAAAGTCAAATAGAAGCAGAAAATCGTGCTATAGGGTTCGCTCTGATCTGCTCCGTATTTGATTGGAAAAAGGTAAACAAAACGGCATAAATGCATAGAATAAATTCACATGACAAACAAATAGGCCGTTAGGAAAATGTGGGAGAAATAAAAAAAAAAATGTTAAACGTTGTAACCTTTATGTAATTTGGTGCATTTAGGACCAAAGTCCTCAATATGAAATAATTAAATCAGTTAATAATTACTTAAACCAAAAGTTAAATATTCTAATTTATTTTATGAATAATTAAAATGAGATCAGTAAATAATTAAATTCATCAATTTGTTTTGCAAGACTATATGAAAGCACATAGAGTACACTTTTTAAAATATCAACACATATTTAAAAAGACACTGCATTTGCAACACTGTAAAATGATCAACACTGTAAAAAATACACCTACTTCAACTAAAAAACTTGAGATAGCTTATAATTTTTAGTATAAAAGTCCAATTGCCTGCACAAGTCATTTGAACCTAAACTATATTAAAATGATTATAAAAATGATAGAACAATATATGCTTCCAAACCTTGATTTCCAATAACTTTTTAAAAATATTTATTTTAATTAAAATTTTTGTAATTTTTCTTACGTGCTTTTGTCATTTTTACTTTTTACAAATATTTATATTTAGCCTTAATTTGTATTATTTCAAGTTTTAATAATATTGTTTTTAATACTTATTTCACTTTAATTTGTATTTATTTTAGTTTAAGTTTTAGTAATTTTATCTGCTTTTGTCATTTTATTTTTAAAATAATATTTAGCAATAATTCATATTTATTTTTTACAATAAATCAACATTCCAAGACAAGTTGGTGGATTTTAAAGGTGCTGTATGTAAGTTTTTGACTCTACTAAAGCATAAAAATACCATAATAGTTTTGCAGATATTTAGGAAACATGCTAAGTTAACATACTTGTTTATCTGAAAAACAATGCTACAGTCAGTTATTCTCCTTTGAAAATGTGCGTAAGGTTACATACGTAACCGAGATGTTTTGGTTTGTGAAACCCGCCCACTGCCAGTTTACACAATTGTATTTCGGCACCCCGGGTTGCCAGTTGGCGGAAAACACAGCGTATTTCATTTAATTCATAGTCAAGTGCGCTCGTTCCTGTTGGTGTCGTCAATCTGGCAACGTGTGTGTGCGTCAAGTCTGAGGAGGAGGGGCCGGGTGAAAAAAACCCTCTCCAATATTTTGAATTTGGACTGCAATACCTAGTTCAACCACTCGGTGTCAATCCTACATACAGCACCTTTAATGCATGCTTGCTGAATAAAAGGTTTTTTTTGTTGTTTTTTTTTTAAGTCTGACTTCAAAACTTTGAACTGTACATGTATGTTGAAAGTGAAATGCAACTACTGTTTATTTATTTATTTTAAATACAATTGAATACAAAACTGTTCATTAAAAATTATATTATCAGCCATTTTTGTCAGCAGTTTGGCTGAAAAGATTTGCTCATATTTTGATTAGTACACTAAAAAAGTTATTTCCCAAAAAATATTTTTTTTTCTCTATACTGAAATATTAAATTTTTTTTTACATAACTTCTGTTTTATTTTTTCATAAAAATAAATATGATTTAAATCATAAAAGTTTTTGTTTATTCATTCATAGTCAAGTTCGCTCGTTCCTGTTGGTGTCGTCAATCTGGCAACCTGTGTGTGCGTCAAGTCTGAGGAGGAGGGGCCGGGTGAAAAAAACCCTCTCCAATATTTTCAAGAGGTCCTCGCTGCAGCCTGTAGCACGATGACGTAGCTGGATCAGGTCCAATACGTATTGGATATACGTGACAGAGTATAAAAGTTATAGGCCTACTAAAATATGCGGGCATCATTTTTTATACCATATAAAAATAAAAAGAAGAAAAACTGTCCTGTCAGTTGGGGTTCCGTATAGCCGACAGACCCGTTATCCCGGGTTATCCCGGATACAATCAAAAAGACATTTAGGCTAACTCTGATAGAGTGATGTATATCGTAATAATTAGCAATTGACAGTGCAATGTCTGCATATCAATCTTGTTGTATTCTTATAATAATGGATACAGCACTGTGCATCCTGGCGATAACATATGAAATGCAGGCTATTCAAAAAAATAAATAAATAAATAAAAAATAAAGCTTTGAAGTTGCCGGTATAGACGAAAACATCGCGGATGAATTTAGGCATTAACGTTTTTACATTGTAATGTAATGTAGGTCATCGTGTAGATATGTAATGTAGGTCAAAAACCCCTGCTACATGTACTGCGTTAGACTTCACTTAGACTAAGTCGCTGTGGATAAAAGCGTCTGCAAAATGATAAAATGTATTTATTCGAGACCTACTACAGCGCATGCGCGTAAAATATCCACTACGTAGTGGATATAGTCCAGCTACGTCATCGTGCTGCAGGCTGCAGCGAGGACAGACTCAATATTTTGAATTTGGACTGCAATACCTAGTTCAACCACTCGGTGTCAATCCTACATACAGCACCTTTAATGCATGCTTGCTGAATAAAAGTATTATTATTATTTTTTTTTTAAAGTCTGACTTCAAAACTTTGAACTGTACATGTATGTTGAAAGTGAAATGCAACTACTGTTTATTTATTTATTTTAAATACAATTGAATACAAAACTGTTCATTAAAAATTATATTATCAGCCATTTTTGTCAGCAGTTTGGCTGAAAAGATTTGCTCATATTTTGATTAGTACACTAAAAAAGTTATTTCCAAAAAAATATATTTTTTTCTCTATACTGAAATATTTCATTTTTTTTTTTTTTTACATAACTTCTGTTTTATTTTTTCATAAAAATAAATATGATTTAAATCATAAAAGTTTTTGTTTATTAAAAAAACATATTCAGTGTGATCTCAGACGAATGATTGCTCATTTGCCACTGTAAGATTTCCTAATTTGTCTCATGTTTTCAATACTTCTATTTGCAGTGGTCATCCTCGTTATGCACTCGGTGTTGATTGGTGGAGGAACCCAGAAGTTGCTGCTGGAGACTGCTTATGACATGCGGATGACAGGCGGCTCGCTGGTGTTTTTACCTTTATTGAGATGCAGACAGATATGGTGCGTTTTCTGGGACGGCCGATTCATTTCCCCCCAGCTGGACCACCAAAAACTGATTCCAGCTGCTGGTTTACGCATGGGATCATCTGCCGTGGAGGTGAGTGTGTATGTTGCTTTCTTGGTTTTCGTTCACATCGACATAACATGCATTTTATGTATCATATGTATCAATCACCCTCTGTGTTACAGGTGTGAATCTTTTACACATGGTTTTAATCTTCCTGTCTGGTTTTCTGTTCATCTTCTTCTCAATTGGCTTTTCTTACTGCATCAGGTATTCATCAAATTATAACCTGAATTTATTGTAACATTTAATGTTGCTCCGAGTGTGTAGACTCTGTCTAAAAGTTTCTTTAAATATTTGTAATGTTTTGTATAGGCGTAAAATTAGTAAGAGCCGAATGGTGCGGGGTCCAAACAAGATTTTACTGACTTTAAATGATGTCACATTCATCAACCCATCCCTGAGCAATAAGGTCAGTAACACAAGCACATGTGCACACAAACATTCCCATACTCTAATTATTCATACTTGTATCTGAAAAACAGAAGCTGATCTTGGATGACAGCAAGGCCAGTGACTCGAGAATGAGCATTTCAGAGCGAAGCCTCAAGTCTCCATTGTCTATTCAGTCGCCAGCCACCTACGAAAATACTAATGTTGCCATTTATGAGGTAAAAGAAAAACACTCAATAGGCCGATTGAATATTAAAGGCTCATATTATGAAAAATAGAATATTCTTTTCTACTTTAAAGTAAATTAGTTCAAAATAAACTATAGATTTAACATTCACAACCAAAAAATCCCTCCACAGTCCACTCCAAATAAAGCTGCAAATACGAGTTGTCATGTTTAGAAATCTTCAAATGTATCCCACATTTACATATCAATGGGCTTGAACCACCTTGATGAACAACAGTGTAAACTACACTATCGTTCAAAAATAATTCTAATTAGTAATTAGGAAATTAATAATTTTATTCAGCAAGGATGCAGTGAATTGATCAAAAGTGACAGTAAAGACTTCTACATTATTACATAACTTTTAAAATGTCCACAAAAATATTAAGCAGCACAACTGTTTTAAACACTTATAATAAGAAGAAATGTTTCTTGAGCAGCAAATCATCATATTAGAATGATCATGTGACAATGAAGAATGGTACAATGGCTGCTATAAGTTCAGCTCTGCCATAACAGGAATTAATTACATTTTAAAATATATTCAAATAGAAAATAGTTATTTTAAATTGTAATCATATTTTACAATATTACTGTTTTACTCTATTTTGATCTAACAAATACAGCCTTGGTGAGCATATGAGATATTGAAATCTTAATGGTAAAGTATCAAAAACATTATTTTTTTTATTCTAAAGGCCAAAGGGATGGTGGAAAATGGTCATTTAGAACTATATAGTGACTAGATTATGAGTGCAAGAAACCTTAACTAACATTATTTATATGTAAACATATACATATCATTTATATACATTATTTATACATATTTAATGTTAATCTCTTTGAACATTTACTCCAATGTTTCTCATTTTGCAGGGTGATTGGGCTTGGCTCAAAAGGCTTCCATTTGGAAATTTCTGGAACATCACTCCTCATACCAGTAATGTGTTTGAACTGGTTGGTTTTGCCACTGATTTTTACATAGTAAAAATGTAGGTGTAGTGCTCATTCTGTTTGTAGGACATTCTGTTTGTGTGTTCTTTGTTCGCTGTTGTTGATTATTTCCTTTATTTTATCATACAATCAATCAAACGATTGCTCTTGATATTCCAGATGAAAGATATGAGGCATGAGAACGTTAACCCCTTTCTTGGCTTTTTCCACGACTGTGGGGTGTTTGCCATAGTAACAGAGTACTGTTCGCGCGGCAGCTTGGAAGATCTGTTGGTCAATGATGACGTCAAACTGGACTGGATGTTCAAGTCCTCTCTCATTCTAGACCTCATCAAGGTGCTCTTATTAGGAATGTGCTTGGTTTAATTTAAGAGCATTGAAACATAGCAAGCACAAATTCATAATGTCTTCTGAATTTATACTCAAATCATACAGTATGCCACAAAAATAGTTATAATATGAATTATAAATGTACTTATTGGTCATTAAAAACATGATTCTTATAATTATTCATTTAATTGTGCAGTTTTATTTATTGTCACATAAATGCATTTGCAGTTACATCACATGTAAGCTTATGTGTGTTTCTGACTGGCATGCAGGGTATGAAATATCTTCACAACTGGAACGTCTGTCATGGAAGGCTTAAATCCAGGAACTGTGTGGTCGATGGGCGTTTTGTGCTCAAAATCACAGACTATGGCTACAACGAGGTTTTGGAAGCTCAGAGATTTCCTTATGTTGAGCCTCCAGCTGAAAGTAAGGTTTATTGTGAGACCTGTCTTGATGTCTATCTCCTGCATAGGATGTTAAAGTATTTTTAATCCCCCACAGCCCTTCTGTGGACCGCCCCTGAGATATTGAGAGAACCCTACCCTGGTCTATATGGCAGTCACCCTGGTGATGTGTACAGTTTCTCAATCATCATGCAAGAGGTGGTCATGCGAGGGCCTCCATTCTGCATGCTGGAGCACTCTTTTGATGGTAAAATCACATGACCCCACCATCTTTACCAGGGCTTTTCAAACTTTTTGATGACACAGACATACAATTTTTTTGTTTCATGTTGGTTTTCTCTGAACGTTTCTGTGGACCCCTGATCTATACTGTACTGTCTACATTGGTAGAGTGTTGTGTAGACATGTCATAACAATAATTTTACAATGTCTAAGTCTTTAATACATCTGGATCATATAGAAATTGTCCAGAAGGTCCGGAAGCCTCCTCCAATGTGCCGGCCCATTGTGTCCCCGGATCATGCCCCCATGGAGTGTATTCAGCTTATGAAGCAGTGCTGGAATGAACAGCCAGAGAAGAGACCCACATTTGATGAAATCTTTGACCAGGTGAACATCAGCAACGCTGCCAAACCATCACCATAATGTTGAATTTATGTGGTTGCCAGAAATTCAGTGTAAAAATACTGTGATCAAAATACTGTATTATGGGCCATTTATTTCATTAAGTGAAATAATATGTGACCCTGGACCACAAAACCAGTCATAAGGGTCAATGTTTCGAAATTTAGATTTATACATCGCCGTACCATGGGTGCAGCAGACGCAATGATATTACGCAGCACCTGAAAATAGGCTAACTTCCGTCAACATAACCAACGTGACCACCTGCTTGCACAGGGAGCGTGCTGGGGACTATTTTCAGGCGCTGCATAATATCATTATTGTATGAAATCAGTCTGATTTTAGTGATTCTATTCTTATATTCTTGGCCGTTCTCAGTCTTTTTTCTTATTCTCTCTACAGTTCAAGAATGTTAATAAAGGAAAAAAGACCAACATCATAGACTCCATGTTGCGAATGCTGGAGCAATATTCCTCCAACCTGGAGGAGTTGATCAGGGAAAGGACAGAGGAGCTGGAAATAGAGAAACAAAAGACTGAGAAACTCCTCACACAAATGTTGCCCCCGTAAGTGACAGATACACAGTCACAGTATAATGATTTTACCACCACACTATGCACTGATGTGATATTTAGAGAAATAAATATGGAACCACTTTCATTCACTCATATAAGTAAAGTTTTGTTTTTATATATATAATTCCAGTTTATCAAATTAAATCAAGTTATCCTAAATATGAAAACTTGAAAATGATGTATACATGTGTACAAAAGACAAGTGTCTTTTGTTTTTGTTCATCCTCTCTAGGTCAGTGGCAGAGGCTCTGAAGCTGGGCACTACAGTCGAACCGGAGTCTTTATTTCAGTGATATTGTTGGCTTCACCACAATCTCAGCCAACAGTGAGCCCATTGAGGTGGGTGACCTCCTCAATGACCTTTACACAACATTTGATGCTGTAATCGGCAATCATGACGTCTACAAGGTAACACTACAAAAATTATGGTAACATTTATTGAAAAACTTTGTTTTATTGTTTGTATTCGTTGTATAAGCAAATGTTGGCTTCCACAGTGATTTCTCTAATTTAAAGAGGACCTTTTATACCCCTTTTTACAAGATGTAATATAAGTCTCAGGTGTCCCCAGAATGTGTCTGTGAATTTTCAATAAAATACCCCACAGATCATTTAATATATCATTTTGAAAATTTATATTTTGAGTAGAAGTACAAATACGCTGTTTTCCATGCATTCAAATGAGCAGCTGCTCCCCGCCCCCTTTTCCAGAATAGGTCTGTGCCTTTACAGCTCGTACCTCAGAAACAAAACATCTGTTTGCTTTTGATTATCATGTCTGTCGCGTTGAAATCATACGTTTTAAAGCCATATCAGTTTAACATCTGATGTACGGTTTTCTAAGCGCACACATCTGAAGCACGCGCACAGAAAGCAGCTGTCACACGGCATGTAAGCATTAAACTAAGTTCTCTTTCATGTCTTATTGCGCTTAAACTGTCAACACAGTCGGTTATGTCTGTGACGGTAAACAGCAGGGAAAGAAATCGCATGTTTATATTACATCTAAAAACAGAAAATCACTCACTATTCTGGACTGAATAACTTCTATAGGTTTAATAAGAAGACATTTCTAATACGGCAGTGTCCGTCAACAGTCGTGGGCGGGGCCTGTTAAATGTGACATCACTTTTTACAGATTCTGCAAACGGCTTGTTCTGAGACACTGCTTCTAAATATGGGGATTAAAAAAAGGAGTGGGTGGATTTTTATCATTATAGGGTGGTTGTGTACACACACTGCCAAAACACATTTATGTTTAAACAACATGTAAAAGTAAATTTTGCATAATAGTTGCCCTTTAATTCTAATTATCATAAACTTTCAGTTTACTAATGAATGTCTCTTGTCTTCATTGTCTACAGGTGGAGACCATAGGAGATGCTTACATGGTGGCTTCAGGTGTGCCTGTGCCCAATGGGAACCGACATGCAGCTGAGATTGCAAACATGGCCTTGGACATTCTGAGTGCTGTTGGCACCTTCAAAATGAGACATATGCCTGATGTACCGTTCCGCATCCGAATAGGACTTCACACAGGTCAGGCTGATCCATCCCATTTAGTTTAAGATTAAATTTAAAAAATGTAAATGTAAATGCTTTCTTTCTTATTAGGTCCCTGTGTGGCTGGTGTGGTGGGTTTGACCATGCCACGGTACTGCCTGTTTGGGGACACAGTCACCACTGCTTCTAGAATGGAGTCCACAGGATTGCGTAAGCATGTGGCACTTCGTTTATACCATAAACAACTCTGTTTCTGTATTTCAAAGATCAGTATGTAAAGATGTATGTCTCGTTAAATCACAGTGATAAAAATTATTAACATCTGTAATCAATGAAATTCAGTGACTGTCATTAATTGAACAGTTGACAAGGCTAATATATAAAAGAAAAGACACTTAAACTTTGTATGTTTGCAGCGTACAGAATCCATGTCCATTCCAGTACAGTAAAAATTCTTATGGACCTGAAGTTGGGGTACAAAGTAGAGCTGAGAGCCAGAACAGAACTCAAGGTGAGCTCATCTGAGTTCTTCTGTAGAACAAATCAAATATTTGATATAATTTAAATCACAACTTCTTGTTTACACTACTGTTCAAAACTTTGGGGTCAGTAAGATTTTTTTAAAAAGAATGAATACTTTTATACAGAGAGGACACATTAAATGATCAAAAATGACAGGAAAGACATTTACAATGTTATAAAAGATTTCTTTTTAACATAAATTGTGTTCTTTTGAACTTTCTGTTGATCAAAGAATCCTGAAAAAATTAATCACAATTTCCACAAAAAGCAGTGCAGCTGTTCGTCATATTAGAATGATTTTAAAGGTGACATATCATGAAAATCTGACTTTTCCAGGTTTTAAGTGCTATAATCAGGTCCCCGGTGCATCTACCAACCAAGGAAATGTGAAAAAGATTAACCCAGTAACTTTGTTTTGGTAAGCCTTTTTCTGCAAGCATCTGAAAAAATGAGCGCATCTGATTTCGCTCCCCTAGTGATGTGGCAAAGGGACCTTATTTTAATATCACCGCCCCTTAAAGGTACAATATGTAAGATTTTCGTAATAAAATATCCAAAAACTACTTGCACAGTGTTATATATTTTATGCAGTTGTGTATTTATGTTATTCCAAAAGTTCCCAAGGATTTGTAAATCCAGAGAAATTCCAATTTTAAATAATGACTGGTCCCTGGTCATTGTCACCGATCAATGATGTAATATCCACATATCCTCAGTTTCCGCTTGTAGAAACTATGGCAACACACAGACACAACTGCTGCTGTACAGTTAAAGGCACAATATGTAAGTTTTCGCTGCTAGAGGGCACGTATTCAAAAGAAACAAAGGCGTAGTTTAATGACGCCGTGACTGAGTGTGGAATCATGGGAGTTGTCGTCTTCATCCCCACAGCCGATGCAATCCGACGGGACTCGGACAGAAATCATGTTCATGGATGAGCTAATGATTTATTAACGTAGTAGAATGAAGCAGACTGAGGCTGAAAGCCGTCGAAGCGAAACAAAGCCGCTGAACGAGCGTGACACACGGCTTGAAAACAGCGGAGCTTTTATTATGTCACAGTCGACTGCTTCCGCTCCTTCCGGTCGTGAGTATGTGGAGTAAAACAGCGCTGTTTTATCATACTTGATACATTTGAAAGTTCTGTTATAATGCTACTCTGTGCAGTCGTCACCGGTAAATAAAACGCACAACATATTAAAGCGTCTTTGGTGTTTCCATGTTTTCTACAAAACGAGGGTGTATGACGTCATTACGTCATTGGCAGGCAACACAATGACACTATGGACACGGTCCGTGTCACTAGTTAAAATTGCTTATTTCTCTGGATTTAAACATTCTTCGAAACATTTGGGATAGTGTAAGTACACAAGTCAGCAAAATATATAACACTGTTCTAGTGGTTTTTGGATATTTTAATAAAAAAATCTTACATATTGTGCCTTTAAACTAAATCCATTACGGCTGTCGCGAATAAAATGCAAATTAAATTAAAAGTGTTGACCGCGGCATTAAATTTAGATCTGCTCAGTGTTGCGCCATGATTTTTTTATGCGTTTTTACAGTGTTGCGCATTATAACCAATCACACACAAGTCTGTTGAGCTTATGAATGCAATGGCCAATCAGAGGCGTTCAGATGAGGTTTTGTTCAGTGTACGGCGCTCGCTGACTGAATTCAGCTCTCACGCGAATTCTCTCATCATACACAACAACACAGTGCAGATGTAGGTATGATGTAAGAGATTCATACGCCAAGTTCCTGTGGATCAGTGGTAGAGCATTGCGTTAGCAGTGCAGAGGACCGTGGTTTCGATTCCCAGAGAACACACATACTGGTAAAAAATGTATAGCCTGAATGCACTGTAAGTCGCTTTGCGTCTGCTAAATGCATAAATTAAATGATTATAAATTAATTAATTAAATTAATTCATAAAACCGTGTATAGACAGCTTTATGGATTATAAGGGCAGTTTTTTGAGAGTGCTTAAACTCGCGCTAGAGTTAAGTCAGTCATAATGTTCTTTGACAGTGTAAATGTTCTTTGCTTGCATTCTCTGTATAATTTATTCGCTGTTTGAATAACTATGGAAGGTACAGGTAATAAA